CCCCCCCCCCCCTTTTTTTTTCTCTTTGGCATTTCTTCCCTGTTAACTGGGAATGAATATTTTTACCCACCAACAAAAATATTGTAAAATATAAACAGCATCATTTAATAAATGAAAATGTACCTGAACATCAAATTAATTGGCAAAGATGTGTGATTCAGTTGGAAATAGTTGTATAACGATACTACAACTCATAACACATGGCTGATACCAAGATCCACATACTGTCCTAGCTATTATCAACATTACGAACACATACTTTGTTAAGAGAGTTCTCTGGGTATCAAGAATCAAGAAATAGTAACTATCCAGAATATTAATCAAATCTTTGTTGATATTGGCAAAGAAACTAATTAATTGAAAATGCTTTAAAAAATCTTACAATATAGTTAGAGAAATAGCCACAGGTATCTTCATGCTACCAAAAAAAAAAAAAACCCAACGATTCTGACAGAAAAAGATGAAATTCCACCAAAGAAGATGCATTTGAATTTCAGTTGAGTCTTTGAAGACTCGTGAGTAGGCATAAAAACCTATGGCCACAGGCACCTATCTGGTATGTTTGGGAAACACAATATAAAGTCCAGTGTGGACAGAATACAGGACAGACAGAATCAGAAGGTCATATACACAACGGCAACACAACTGACTTAATTCTGTAGGTAGAGTAACCAGAGAGTTTCACACTAAAGTGACAAGCTGAGCTAGGGAATAAAGTGGACAGTAGGGCCCAGGATGATATGGAGATGGAAGACTGAAAATACAGTATAGGTAAGATCAGCTAGGAGGCTCCTAGAGTCCAACTGAGAAACACTGTTGGCCTGAACCCCAAATATAATTCAGATGTAAACAATACCCTGAACTGAACACAGACAAGTCACAGAAATATTTCAAAAGCTTAAAATTTATTAAGTTTAATGAAATGCAACTAAACATAAATTATTCCTGAGTAAACTGTAGCTTTAAACAAACAAAATTATAATATATACTACTAAAAACTGAGTTGAAAAGTGATTTGTAAAGATTTTTATTTTCATCCACATATAATTAATGAGTTATTAGCAAAATACAGCATACTTAAAAATAATTTAGTATTAACTACACCAAATATCTGCACACAATTTGAACATTTTGACAAATCTTTTCTCATGGTTACCCAATAAAGACACCTCTAGACAGTAATTTATAATTAGTTGACACACAAATACTAAATCATTTTATAAAGTTGAAGAAAATAAGTAAAATTTGGCCAAATATAGTCATCATGCATTTAAAAACAATTAGTATACTATTTGCTGTTCAGAGCCAATTAAGTTTATTGAGCGACTATTTTCCAAGGTCAAAACCATGTTCCCTTACAGAATTCTCAAATCCGTCACACTAGATAGGAAACAATATCTTTTATTTTACAGATGAGACTGATAGGAACTTGTCCAACACCACAAGCTTTCCTTTAGTAGCATATTTCATGATACTGACAATTTTAAGGGAACACTGCCTATTTTTATCACATTTGTTTTATTGCCATAATGTCTTTGTTTCTATATTCATTTTTCTTGCATTCTTGTGGATGGAAACAATATTTTTATTGACACCATCATTTCTTTGTCCTACTTGTCTTCCTAAGAATATGAAACGAGATTCATGGGTTCCCATGCATCCATAGTTTTTCACCTATACATTTCAGTGAAATATACTTAAGTAATAATGTACAATTATGAGTATGACAGGGATTCAGAAAGTTCGTGGAAAATTCCATTTTCCATAAACTTCTGAAGCCCTCGCATGGTATTCTATATTTCTGTACATTAAAAATTACATAGGCACATACCTATTAATAAAAAGATAGACTAAAATTTCTAAAATATAATACACTTTTTTATTTCATATTTTTTATTTATAAATTTAACCATCAATATAGGCTGCTAGGAGTCCTGGTGTGGCGCTATACGTTAATGCGCTGAACTGCAAGGTCAGTATGAACCATAAGGTCAGCAGTTCAAGCTCACCAGCAGCTCCTTGGAAACCCTATACAGGGTCGCTATGGGTTGGAACCGACTCGACGGCACTTAACAATAACAACAGGATGCTAAAAAGTTCAAATGATTATTAGGCTGGTCAATCATCCACACTGAAATGTATGTTCTTTAATGCTTAAAGTACTGCTCTGAAGAACTGGGATACTGGCAGGTTCTTTATTGTAGTTCAATTGAAATAATTTTAAGAAAAAAAGAGTATTATTTTTTTATAGGTGTAATCAGGTTTTAGCCAACTTCTTGTACTATGAAGACCACTGGTGTGTTGCTGTAGGATAAGTACCATCAAGTCGGCCATTCAAATCACAACTGCCAGAGTTAGAACCCACTCGACAGCATACAGCAAATACTTGCTATGAAGTATACATACACACCATTCCTAGCCAGTCAATTCCAATTTATAACGACCCTATAGGACGGAGTGGAGTCCTGGTTTGGCGCTGTGGGTTAATGTGCTGAACTGTGAAGTCGGTTTGAACTGCAAGGTCAGTGGTTCAAGCTCACTAGCCGCTCTTCAGGGTCACTATGGGCTGGACCCGACAACAGCACTTAACAACAACACAGGACAGAGTAGGACTGACCCATAAGGTTCCCAAGCCAGTAAATTTACAGACACTGGCTGCCACACCTTTCTTCCATGGAGCAGCAGGTGGATTCAAACCTCTGACCTTCTGATTAACAGGCAAGCACTTAACCCCATGCCACCAGGACTTCTTTTAAGAAGTATACACTATCATATATTGTTGTTGCTGTTAAGTGCCACAGAATTGGTTCTGACTCATAGCAACCCTGTACGGGGTTTCCAAGGAGTGGGTGATGAACTTGAACAGCCAACCTGCGGTCCAGTGCACTGTCCCACAGCACCACACCATGACACCATATATAGGTTTTCTATATACGATAATCTTTACGAAGTATGTTGCTGTTATTGTTAAGTGCTGTGGAGTTGGTTCCAACTCATAGCGACCCGGTATAGGGTTTCTGAGAAGCAGCTGGAGGATCTGAACCACCGACCTCATGGTTCAAACCAACCTTTCAGTAGTGCTTATCGTACAGTGTCACACCAGGACTCCACATGAAGTAAAGACTACCATATACAGAAAACCTGCTCTGTTAAAGCGTAGCACTGTGGCTCTGTAGGATAAGCACTGGATTGCTAATCACAAGGTCAGCAGTTCAAATCCACAAGTTGATCCATGAGAAAGGTAAAGCTTTTTCCTCATGCGAAGATTTCTAGCCTCAGAAACCCAATACAGGGTCACTATGAGTTCTGTTCAAAGTATTCTCATAGAAAGGGAGTAAGCTGTACAGAAATAAACTCCTCAATAGAGAGCTAGTAAATGCCCTTACTTTACAGATCAGGGACTGAGGCTCAAGCTTGATATGTAACTTGCACAAGTAATATGCTGATCGTAAACCAGGAGATTCCTGAGCCTGACCCCTATTCTAGGTTCTTTTGACCATATCACCAATGTTCTCTCATTTAATTACTTAATTACATTATTTATTCACTATACTTTAATTTGGAAAATCATTTAATTAAAAAAAATGTTTTTCTTAACAACCAATAATTCTCTTATTTTTTTTTCTTAAAAATGAGCATTACAGCAACAGAGTATGTAGTAGTATATAATATTAAGATACTTTCGTGGCTTCATTAAGGTGAGATTTTTATACAGGAAATAATTTGGTTTGGCTGTAAAAACTTATATAAAAGGTAAAGCTTCAAAACCTCTACAGCATAGTAACTTCATAAGTTGTGAAATGGTTTTCTATAATCTTGACATTTTCTTCAGACAGCCAGTTTTCGTGTTTTAACTGTCTTATTAGAGCTTCCAAAGACTTTAGTCTTCCTAGAGTTTGTTGCTCTTGTAGTTCAAGAAGAGTTATCTTTGAATGTAGTTTAGAAACTTTCTGCCAAAGATGTTCCTTATTTATGTCTTGTCTACAGTAAGAATGTTCAACTTGTAAAACTTCTGTTCCATAGTCAACATCCTTATAAAAGGAGTCTTCATTGTCTACGTCCTCCATTTCCATGGTTTCTTGTTGGGCAGGTATAAAAGAATTAACTGTAGATCTAGAATTTTCAGTGGGTACAAAAATAGCAATAACTGATTCCTTATTTGAATTTAATTCTTCGACTGTTTGAGTAATTGTGCTGAAAAAGACTGGGTTTTCTTGTACTGACTTAACTTCCATGGAATTATTTGTAAAATTTGGATTAGCAATATGATTGGTAGTTATTTCAAACACTTCTTGGGTTTCTAAGGAGTGTGGAATATCTTCTGAATCTGAAGTTGTCAAAGTAATAGTTGTAGAATTTATATTCTCAAAACATGTGTTAAAACCACCTACACCAACACCTTTGTTAAATGATGTTTCCAAAGTGGATTCTGGGTTTTCAATATCTTGTTTAACCAGATTAAGAGTCAGTATATTACTTTGTTCACTTTCTGTTTTTAGAGCTGGTGGCTTCACACAACAAAATGAATCAAGTATTTCTGTACATTCAGGAAGGAAATCTGTCTTCACTGTAGTTTTCTTTGGGACATTTGACACAAATGGTTCTGACTTAACTTTTATGCATACTTCATTTTCATCCTTTAATTTTGGCTCTGGAGACATTTTTTTGAAAGGGTCTTTTCCCTAAAAAATAATATTTTCAAAAATCTAAGAAAAATGCTCTTTCCAGGTTTCTTCTCTTAATAATTCATAATTATTTAATTATAATTTGAACAGTATACTGGACACATAAGTTTATTTACTTAAAAAATAATTCTAAGTGTATAGCAACTCAAATATATCTTAAAATGTTTTTTAAATAGTACATCCAACATATGAGAGAAAAGTTTCAGATAATTCAAATGACCATGAAAAAATTCTCACTCAGTAGCTTATATTAAATAACTTATTTTTTGCTTACTTCTTTTAAGCTATACTTTATTACAATTTAAAAAATTGTAAAGTTGCAAAATTTG